AATTTTGTACATAACCGCGGACAGCTGCCAGCTAGCCGAAAAATAGTAATCATTAACGGTTACTTCCTAATTGCAAGTAGCACAGGCATACACGTTAGTGTCGGGTTACGTGAGGGGATGTGAGGCTGGTGATTGGGAAGCATGATAAGCGTCAAGTCTACACTTCAAGGAATTCACACAGGAGGCAACTACAACATCGGTAGGCAGGGCATTACACGCTGCAAATACTCTGTTACTGAAATATAACCTTCGTCCATTGATCCTTTCTTTCCCTGCGCGTAGTTTTACGGGAAGACCGCGCAAAGTGGGCGTGTTAGCTTGAGTAAAATAATCTGTGGGATCTAAACAATAGTCTATGCCGTTGATAATGCGAAATGTGAATATAAGGGAAACAGGTTGAGAGTTGACAGTCTGGTTTCATAGGGCAGTGCTGCCAGACCGCGTGAATGTTTGTTCTTGACTATTGAAATACTACTTTGTCGTTTAAATGCAACTGCGCCTTTGGACTTAGGCGTACGTCTGTGGGTATACCAGCTAATAATAATTGGACGTGGTCTTAGCTATGTGATGAATTAGGATATTGGATAAGGACCTTTATCAGTTAGTGGAATGATGAAATATTTTTAGGAAGAGGTAGGCACATGGGAATGAAGGAGGCATTGGTGGTAGCTGTGAGAACTGAACTATGGCTAGCTCACGCGTTACCCGAAAGGGGGGAGCTGTGATGGGCAGGCTTGAGGTCGGAAGTGAGCGTTGACGCACTGGCCCAGAAATCTGCACGGCCCATCCACGTGAGCCACACAGGACCAGTTTGAATTCCGTTTACAGTGGGAAACTGAGAGTTGGGGCTGACCGTGACAAGCATCGCGCTCACTTCTCCAACCCGATCTCAGTGTCACACACACACACGACCAGTTGAAATCCGGCAGGGACTAGAACAGGTGTAGATGATATTCCACAACTAGTTGGAAGCCAAACCCTATCAACTGCGGCGAGGAAATTTCACATAAACCGAAGAACTATATATACACGGGGATAACAGTGGATGCGTTGTGAAACCAAGTCAGTCAGGACATATGGCGTTGATTTTTGCGGCGTATTTCCCTGTCGTGTTGGCAATCATGACGTCGAAGATTCGTCTTTGGTGCCATTTCGAATAGATTTTGTCAGTCCACATCAAGATCAAGTCGCCGTAACAACTGGAACGTGAGTAAAAGCTCACCGACGTCTTGTCGATAGTGGAGACGATAAACGTTTAAGGCTGTCAGGCGCTATTCGTACGTCAAATATTTCAGTTCAGGGACAAGCTATCTAGCACGTCCTTGCACACCACCTTCAAGATGAGCTATGCACTCCCGAAGTAACGGACGCCGAGCCTGTACCGCATATTCCATGTGTGTCCACACAAATGTTCCCCATACCTCACCGAAGATATCCGCATCCACGTCATAGAAGTTGACGTTGTGTGCACTGCGATTTTACGCTCACATCTCCTTTACTGAATTCTTCACGCACATGTTGATCGCAAATAATTATGCGGTTACTATTCTTATCAACCTCATCTCTTCACTGATCAGGCTGAGGCATGCAGTCTGACCCTAGGTCCAGAGAAGGGGGCGTGTTATGCCGCCAGTTTGCAGATCATATATACGCCTTCCACACACTACCAATTCCCTAACTGCACACCACCTACCAGACTCCACTGGTGATGAGGGAGATCTCGCTCCGTCGAGATTAATCCGACGGTCACATCAAGGCTGAGGCATGCAGTCTGACCCTAGGTCCTGAGTAGGGGGCGTGTTATGCCGCCAGTTTGCACAACGTCAAGAAACAACTGTTTGCCAGTCCTAATAATCAATGCAGAGCTCATTTTCCGTTTAAAGTGAAAACATTAATAGACGGAGACGACTTCGACAGCCATCACCCTCTCTTCTCCAACCCCTTCTCGGTGGCTTGCTCGAGTCAGGCGGTCTGGGAATGAGGAGACTGGGTACAGTGGCTGAGATTACCTGACAGTCCTATTTACGCTTTGGGAAACATGGGAAGCAATAAAACCAAATCCGACAACACATTCGAATATTAACTACAAATTGGCACAATTTTGGTTGCATTTATCGCGCATTTTATTTCAATACCTATCGACCTTAACATTAACAGTGTGTAAGGAATACAGATCATTAAATCGAGACGTCGGACAAGAGGTCGGTTGACACGAGGTGGATGTCAGCACCCATAGTGTGCACATTGCCGGACAAAGAACTATATGCGTCACCAGCAGAGCTGGCCAATCAAAATGCGACTAACCGTCAATATTCAACTCCGATGCTGCCCGGATGGCTGACTGAGCGCCCTCTGACCAGCCCACGCAGGAGAAGGGCATATGACCCAGCTGGCACATCAAATTCACGCCAAATCGGGCATCCTGCAGCAGGATCTGCGGATCACTCTAGTCGCGGACGGGGGAGTGCTGGAACAGTAACCTGGTGGATCAAAGCCTATCGCAGTGAACCTACAGCCGGGGGGAGAGGGTGGACAGACATACCTTGTCGGTCAGTAGACTGGGGAGGGCTGGGGGACGGGAGGCAGGCAGTTCTCTGGAACTTGAGCCGTGCATACTTGACGCACACGTGCTCATGGTCTGAGAGGGGGATGGTACACTATCGGTTACACGGTACTGCCATGCAGCATTATCTCCGCGACATTTGCGCCTAAGGCAGACCACGCATTGGATGCGCTGCATAGCCACGGGGAACTAGATCGGAGTCTGGCAGGCCTTATTGACGATGCTCACCTCATAACACATGCCGCATTTGGGGTGTGACGGCACGTCCAATTCGTAAGAAGACACAACACCAAGCCCCACTGGAGGACAGGCATTTATGTTATGACGTAGTGATAAGTGATTACAGAGACGAGGATGGCGGGAAAGAGGAGAATATTGTTGGCTTCTGGGCGTCTGACGCAGATAGTGGATCCAGGTGGAAAGGGCCTCCCTGTAGGCACCAAACATTTGGTTGATGTGGTGATCCCTGAGGCCAATTGGAGAGGAAGGAGGCGATGCGTCGTTGCTGAAATTGCTAACGAAAGGACGCAGCAGTCGACTACAGACGAGCAGTCCTCTGCGTCCACCCAGTCGATTGGGCTTAAACATGCACTTTCTGCAATGATTCCGATAAGAGAATATGCAGTTAGATTTTTTAAGATTGCAAAATGATAGCACAGATGTTTCTGCATTAGCTGGTAGAGAATAAATGCGGATTTATGTGAAATTTTTTTCAGAAAGACAAGAGGCCTCGCATTATTTGAATTTGGATGCAATATAACCATGTACATGCCTGATCTTAAGAGGACTCTGTGCTGTGGCATCTGCTCCAGTGTCCCCTCCCCCCCCCCCATTTTACCGCACCGATTACCGCGACAACAGGCATTCCGCTGACAAACGGCAATCCCTCGGGCCTGTGCTGGGCCGCCTCTTTCTCACCGTCAATGGATCACGTCTGCGCACACAGTTTCTCACTCGCTTCGAACCTCCCCGCTGGTTACCCGTGCGCGCCCTTCTCATCATGCACCTCCGACTCCGCCCCTTAACCATCCAATCACATGTCCAACACTCACCGACACATTCCCTCATGCTGACACGGACATGTGACGTCCACGCAAAAAACCTCGCATCACGACATCCGCTCTCCTGAGCGGACGCTTTCCTCTGACCACAAGAAAAAAGCCAACTCACGGCAATATGGCCTGTGTGCAGAATAAGCCAGTTCTCACTATCTCTCGACTTCTGACATAAGACAGAACGAACTTATTGTGTGTGATTATAGTTGATGTTACATCCTTGACCCCACATATTGAGCAGGCTCGGGGACTGGTCGAAGCGCTGACTTATACCCTCCAACGTAAGTAATTACAACTTTCTTCAAGTCGGCAGCTACAGGGACTCCAAGCTCAGGAATTACTTTCTAAACGGTACACCATTGCAGCAGGTTGACAGTCAGAAGTACTTGGGTGTGTGGATTACATCCTCATTCTAGCCAATACTGAAATGTGCGAAGGCGGTCAAGTCGTTCATGTCTATATTGCAAGTCATTAGGTAAGCCTTTATGGGCTTAGAGGCGAAGATGTTCAGAGGGCTTGCGGTCGCCCAAAGCTTCCGCCTCTTCTTCTTCTTCTTCTTCTTCTTCTTCTTCTGTTACGAGTACATGGTTGCGTTGACGATCAGAATGTGGAGTGAGTCGAAGGGGCTCGGTGTAAGGAGGGAACGAACCTCAGATAGTCTGAGTTGTCCTGGTAGAGAAAACGGTGGCCCCGATGCGGAAAACGTAGAGTTCTGGGGCCTGCTGCCTAAATTCTAGAAGGGACACAGTGACTCCACGGAGAGAAGTAGCAGCATCTGCGGGTGGCGTGGGAGACATCGTTGAAGGCAAAATCAGGATACAGAACACAGAGAAGGTAAATATACGCCAGAAGGTAAGTGTAAGCAGCGTGGACGTCGGAGGTCACCACTGGTGCAATTTGAGGCTGACTCGAGTGGGAGTGGGAAATGGGCGCGGTGGCTGACATGGTCGACTGACCATGCCTGCGCGCGCCACAGCACGATCTGGCCCCTCATACACACACAAACACCAGGATTTCACACAACGGGGGTTGAACGGCGTCTCTCACTTGCGTGAGAGTGCCGTGGAAGGTACTGCTTCAGCCCGTCCCCAGCCCACCAGTCCGCCACTCCACACAACACACAACACAACGTGACAAACTGCGTGAACCGAGAACGGGCGTCAATCAGCAACCTTCCTATCCACGACACTTGACGTGTCGGGATGGCCTCGGACTCAAGTCACCCGTGCAGCCGAGGCCGCATGGGGACCGAGTCGAGATGCACACTTCCCATTTGCGTGGAAGGTGGCCGTTGGTGCATGCGGTGGGTGATTGTTGATGCTTAGTGGAGATGGTGGAGGAGGGAAGAAGGTGTGTGGATGTGTAATGTGACCGTCGGTTGTCTAACGCAGGTCGCCGTGGATGCGCATGTGACCGAATAGACCCATGCGATGCATGAAGGTGCGAGGACAGTGTGGGCAGTGGAGACGAGTTTGGTGGGTGTAGGTTGGTGCTCCAGGCACTGGTTCGCCAGTCTCTGTGCGATGGATTCGCAGGTGACCAACCAGGCCGATGCGTGAAGTGAAGGTGCGATCGCAGTGAGGGCAGATGTGGTCCTGGCCCTCACGTCTGATGATGGAGGTTGCAGCGGTTGTGCCTGTTGTTGTGTCAGGTGCGGCTGTGGTGAAGTCGTGGGCGACAGACGCTGAGGCGGCCGTCGTTGTGGCAGTGAAGGAGGAAGAGGAGTAGGAAGGGGAGGAGTGAGGGGTAGTAAAGTCGGTGGCATCGACGGCGGTTGCGGAGAGGTTGTTGGCCGCACAAGGTGATGAACTGGGAGCGGGGCCTAGCGTTGTGGGTGTGTCAAGGCTGCGGTCAATGCCGCTCTCATGGATGCGCATGTGGCCGAATAGACCCATGCGATGAGTGAAGCTGCGAGGACAGTGTGGGCAGTGAAGGCGAGTGCGGTGGGTGTAGGTTGGTGCTCCAGGCACTGGTTCGCCAGTCTCTGTGCGATGGATTCGCATGTGACCGACCAGGCCGATGTGTGAGGTGAAGGTGCGGTCGCAGTGAGGGCAGGTGTAGTCCTGATCCTCATCAGCAGTATCGGGAGAGGTGGGAGAGGTGGTGTCGGTTGTTGTGTTGGGGTTGGTGATGTGTGAGACGGCAGTCTGAACGGCCGCCGCTGGGGCAGTGGGGGAGGAGGAGGAGGAGGAGAAGGAGGAGGAGGAGGAGGAGGAGGAGGAGGAGGATGGAAGTGGTGGTACAGAAGAGTTAACAGAGTTAGTTGGCGGCAGAGAGGACGAGGAAGAGGCGGGCGGGGGGACGATGGCTGGAGCAGTTCGAGAGGTGCAGTTGATCCGCAGATGTCCAACAAGTCCGATTCGTGCCCGGAATGTCCGTTGACATCGAGGACACGTAGGGAGAGGTTGTGCGGTGGCGTTGCGTACTGGGCGAAGTTGTGATTTGCGGGCTTCGCGTTTCGCTTTGGCGGCGGCGATTCGGTTGGCTTCATAGATAGCAGCGCCCGTCTTCAATGTTCTCCTCCATGTCGGACGATCGCGGGCGAGATCTTCCCAGTTGGTCGGGTTGATTTGCAGGCGCTTCATGGAGGACTTCAGGGTATCCTTGTAACGGCGAATCTGGCCTCCTTGACGACGAGAACCCGTCGCGACGTCTCCGTAGAAGAGTCGTTTGGGTAGTCGCTCTTCGTCCATGCGCACCAGGTGGCCACTCCAGCGCAGCTGCATTTGTCTCAACATGGAGTAGATGCTCAGGATTCCCGTCCGTTCCAGCACTTCCGTGTCGGGGATTCGATCCTGCCAGTTCAGCCTCAGGATGCGACGGAGACAACTGAGGTGGAAGTGATTCAGTTGACGTGCCTGCCTCGTGTACACCGTCCAAGTCTCCGCTCCATACAGTAGCGTCGGCAGGATGACGGCCTTGTACATCTTCAGCTTCGTGCTCAGTTGGAGACCGTGGCGATTCCAAACTGTGCTTTGGAGGCGTCCGAAGGCTTGACTGGCTTTCGAGATTCGGTTGGCGACTTCGTCATCGATCTTTGTGTTGCGAGATAGGGTACTTCCCAGGTACGGGAAGTTCTCTACCACCTGCAGTTGGGTCCCATTCACGCTGATTTGCGGCGGCGCGTTGGGGGCTGTGGCTGATTTGGGTGGCGGTTGGTGCACCACCACCGTCTTCTGCGTGTTAATGATCAGACCGAAGTTCTCGCAGGCGGCGGAGAATAGGTACATGCTGCGTTGCATCTCGGCTTCGGAGGTGGTGTTCAGGGCGCAGTAGTCGGCGAAGAGGATTTCGTGCACGGTAGTTGTGGATACGCGCGATTGGGAGTTCATGCGCCGGTGATTCAGGAGATGACCGTCCGTTCTGTAGGCGATGCGGATTCCAGGGCGTTCGTCGCGGTAGGCGTCCATCAGCATGGTAGAGAACATAAGACTGAAGAGGGTAGGCGCCAGCACACAGCCCTGCTTCACTCCGTTGGTCACTGCGAATGCCACTGAGACAGCTCCGTTGTCCGTGACTCGCGCCATCATACCGTCGTGCAGCTGACGCACCATCTGAGTGAATCGCTCCGGGCAGCCGAATTTCTGCATGATCTTCCACAGTCCTTCACGATTCGCCGTGTCGAAGGCTTTCGTCAGGTCCACGAAGGTAGAGTATAAGTGGGTCCGCATCTCCTGGCCCTTCTCCTGTAGTTGGCGGGCGGCGAAGATCATATCCGTGGTCCCACGATGACGACGGAAGCCGCATTGGCTTTCCGGCAGAAGGCCCTGTTCCAGACGGTTGTTGAGGCGGCTGAGAAGGATGCGAGCGAAGATCTTCCCGGCGATGTTTAGCAAGGAGATGCCACGGTGATTGTAACAGACTTGGCGGTTCCCCTTTCGCTTGTAGAGATGCACGATGGTTGCGTCCTTGTAATCTTGCGGGACTTCACCTTGACGCCACATCTCCTGGAAGAGCGCAGTCAGGTGATCCATGAGTTGGGGACCTCTGTGCTTGTAGACCTCAGCAGGGATCGCGTCCGATCCGGGTGCTTTCCCGCTAGAGAGCTGCTGCACGGCCCTGATCGTTTCCTGGAGAGATGGCGGGAGGTCGAGGTCCACGTTGGTCTCCACTTGCGGCAAACGCTCGATGGCGGCGTCAGAGATGGCGGAAGGGCGGTTGAGGACGCCTCGGAAATGCTCGGCCCATTGCTGTAGGATTTGCGTCTTCTCAGTCAGGAGAGTGCTGCCGTCGGCGCTGATGAGAGGAGCAGTGCCCTTCGTCGGCGGACCGTAGACGGTTTTGATCGCAGAGAAGAAGTTCTTCCATTCGTTCCGGTCCGCGTAGCCTTGGATCTCCTCAGCTGTGCGAGCAGCCCAGGCGTCCTGCATCTCGCGCAGTCGTTGCTGAAGCTGGCGGCGACTGCGGTAGAAGGCAGCTTTGTTGTCCTCATTGGGGTGATCTACGTAGGCTTTGTGTAGGCGGTTCTTCTCAGCAAGCAGATTTCTGATGGCGGCGTCGTTGTCGTCGAACCAGTCCTGGTGTTGGCGGGGAGCGCGACCAAGGACGGCGAGCGCCGTCGACTGGACCGTGTCTCGCATTTGACACCTGCGGTTCTCCACGGAGGCGTTCTCGGCAGCGGCGGCGTCGGCAATGGTGAGGTTGTCTAGCCGTTGAGCTAACTCATTGCTGAAATGAAGATGGTGAGCAGGCAAAGACAACAAGGCAAAATTCAGCTTACCTGGGGGTCGCCTACCTTGTGGTCGCCTGCGAGGTTGTAGACGAATACGCATCTTCGAGATGACGAGGCGATGGTCGGTCCACCCATCAGCACCCGCGATCGCCTTCGTCACCAGCACGTCCCGCTGATCTCGCCTCCGGACGAGGACATAGTCCAGCAGGTGCCACTGACGCGACCGAGGATGCCTCCAGGTGGCCTTCTCTCGCTCCGGCAGACAGAAGAACGCGCTCGTCAGGATGAGATGGCCTTCCGCGCAGGTGCGGAGCAGCAGACCATTGTCGTTGGAGCCGCGGAGACCATGGGGACCCAGCACTCCTCTCCAGGCATTATGGTCTGTGCCGACACGGGCGTTGAAGTCACCAAGGACAATCAACTTGTCCGCCTTCGACACAGTCGCCAAGAGTG